TTGTTCTTTTACAGAAGAGGAAACTGAGGCCCAGGAGAGGCTGTGGCCTCGTGGTTAGGGGCCTCTGTCCCACGTCCCACAGTGATGCTCCTGGAGATTGCCTGGCGTCCTCACCCTGGCCTCTCCGTGTCTTTCAGCTCGTGGGCTTTGTCTGTGCCTGCTATGTGATCAGCATTTTCACCGAGGAGGAAGATAGCTGTAAGTGTGCGGCCGCCAGCCTCCCACAGGAGCCTGGTAGTGACCTGGCCAGGCCCCGCCAGGCAGTGGGGGAGGGAGAGGGAAGCAGAGGGCTGGCCACAGAGGGGGAGGCTTCATTTGCTCCTGCCTGTTGTGGCTTCAGCCTGAGACCTCACCTCTTAGATGGGCCCCCATGCCCATTGGGGCCCAGCCCCCTAAGAAGAGATGAGGAGGGGTCCTGGGCTGTGGGTACCAAGGGTCAGCTTACCCCCTAGCCCCCCAGGTCCAAGGGCTTCTGTGCTGGGGGGCCAGCCCCCCCCCCCATCACCCCCACAGCTGCTGCAGGTGGAAGGCTGAGTCCTCAGGCCTGCAGAGGAACAGACCGCTCCCCTCCTTGCACTGAGAGCTGGGCCTGCTGGCCCTGGGCATCCCACCAGCCCTCAGGACTGGCTTGGGCCCATCTGAGCAGCTTCTCACTTTTCCTCCACGTGGAAGCCCCTTTTGACTTTCCTCTGATCAGCAGCATCAACACTTAGGTGCCCTCGCTGGCCCCGACGTGCCCCAGCTCCGACATGGTCTCATGGGAAGACCCCAAAGAGAAGAGCAGAGCCAGGGTGGGCAGGGGCTGGGCACACCCGGGGGCGCACAGCTTCTGTGGACAGAACCTTCTCTGGAGTTGGAATCAGAATTGAGAGCCTCTGTTCCCAGGAGTCAGGTGGCCATGGGCTGGGTGGTCCATGTGTCCTTCAGAGACCAGGCTCACTCAAGGACCAGCCGCCAGCCCCCTCAGCCCTTGTGCTGCGCGACCGCCAAATCATCACTCAGACCACAGCTGGCTGGGAGGACACAAAACAGAGCTCGTGTGTCGATTACACGGAGGCGTTTTGGGAGGGGAGCCAGCCCTGGAGTCAGAGACGCACCGGCTTTGCCCGGCAAGCCTGTGCCGCTCACTACTGGTGCAGACACAGCTTCAAGGGCAGGCGATTGACGTTTGTGAACATGATGGGGGCAATGACCAGGAGAGCCTGGCAGGCCTGGCGCAGCCCCTCAACAGGCTCCGAGGATTGGCTGTCACGTCCCTGCTCGGTTTCCCCAGACCACATCCCCCTGCTGAGAGTGTCCACTGAAACCTTTCACCTGGAAGCCGCTCACACTATTTATCATCCAAAGAGAGCTGTCTCCAGGTCTGGGCGGTGTCTGCCCTCCCCTGGGGCTCCCAGCTCACCTTTGTCCTCCCATCACTGCATCCCTGTGCCCACTGTCCACCCTCCCACGACTCGCCTCTGTCCCCCCATCACTGTGCCCACTGTCCACCCTCCCCCCGGCTCGCCCCTGTCCCCCCATCACTGTACCCACTGTCCACCCTCCCACGACTCGCCCCTGTCCCCCCATCACTGCCTCACTGTCCACCCTCCCCCCGACTCGCCCCTGTCCCCCCATCACTGTGCCCAGTATCCATCCTCCCAGGGGCCCCTCAGCTTGCCCCGTCCTCCCATCACTGCATCCCTGTGCCCTGTGTCCATCCTTCCCCAGGCTCATCCGGTCCCCCCATCAGTGCAGGAGGGTCTGTGGTGGGCGTGTTCTCCATTCTGTCATCTTTTCCATTGTCTGGGTTTTGTTTTATTTGGATCTCAATTTCTTTCAGTTGATTTCATTGGTGGATTTGATCCATTTCCTCTCTACCATGTCCATGAAAAGCCTTCCAGCCTCTTGTTCAAGCAGGCTTACTTGTAAGTATGGCCGGCAGGGCCTGCCCCCGGCTGGGCCTGGCCAGTTGGGTTAGCACAGCCATGAAGTTCCTCTCTGTGGGGAAGCCTCACCAGGCATCCATCTGTCTGTCTGTCTGTCCATCCTCCATCCATCCATCCATCCATCCATCCCCCACTTTTCAGAGATCTGCTCCTTGCTGGCTCTGGGCAGGGTATGGGGGCACAGAGCCCCTGGAGTTTGGCCCCCACTCCCTGGAACTCTGAGCCAGCAGGTCTGCGGAGTTGCGTCTAAGCAGGTTTTGTGCCAGGGGGCTGATGGGGCACCAAAAGGCCACCTCCCAGGAGGGGACATGGAAATTCTCCAGGGGTCTCACTGTGGTGGGCAAGTTGGGGTGTCAGTTTGCTGTCTTTGGAGGAGCAGACTTCTTCCCTCCTGGAGAGCAGCATCCACAGCCCCACACACCCTGGGCCTGGGCTGCTCCGGAGCAGCTTTTGCCACCAGTCCTGCCCCACACACAATCCTGAAATTTGGGCTCAGAAGAGGCGGCTGTGGTCCTTCTCTCGGTAGAGCTGTGCCTCCTCTGTCCTGCCCAGGCCCTCAGAGACCAGCCTGCCTTTCAGGGCCACACCTGCAGCCATCCCCTGGGGACCCTGGCCCTCTTGGGGACCCCAGACCATCTACCCTGGAAGTGAAGGCCCATCATGGCCAAGGGCCATCAGAGGTAGAGGGCATCCAGCTCCTGTGACGGGAGCAGCCTCACGCAGGCCCACGTGCTGGGCAGGGTACATGACAGTTGACGTCCAGGGCCCACTTTGAAAGGCCTGCCAGGCTGGGCAGGCCTCTGGGGCTTTCCCTCCAGCTATGGAGGCTGAGGGCCAGAATGACCCAGGGTGAGCGCTGAGCTCCACGCCCTGGCCCCTGCCTGCACCCCGCAGAGCGGCCAGAGCCAGCTCTGCAGGAGCAAGGCCTGGCCTGCCTGGCAAGGAGCCTGAGGCCTGGGCCGGGCCTTCCAGAAGCCCAGCCCCTCACCCCCGACCCCTTTGCCAAAGGCCAGGAAGCTCTCCTCTTCTTGGATTTTGTCCCAATTGCATTTCAAGCTCCCCAGGGGAAGAGGGCACAGCAGCCCCCACTGACCGCTGACTGCCCGAGCCTTCCTCCCCTGGCTGGGAGCTGCTCCTCAGGGGTTCTCTGACCTCCATCCACCCCTTGCCTCACCCCCACAGGCCTGCGTAAGTGAAGAAGCACCGATCCCACTCCTGCGACCTCCAGCCTCCATGACCCACTGCAGGCAGCCAGGAGACTCACAGCCTCCCTGCCCCCAGGGCCCTGCAAGTGGTCAGAGCACCTGCCCCAGTGCCAAGTGAGTAGACACCAGGCAGGGACAGCTGCAACTTCAGGAGAGTTTGCAGTTCCCTTTTTCTGAAAAAAGACAAGACACAAAAGAAAACTGCATCCCCGGTTTCCATCAGCACCAGGATCAGGCTCCACCTGCAGCAGTCCTGGGACTGTTATCCAGGAGCCCCTTCCTGCGCACACTGCTGCTGTGGGGAGCGGCTCGCCATGGGGACTGAGAGACAGAGAACGCATGACCCTACCACGAAGGTCAGTGTGAGCCCACGGTGCCCCCCGTGAGTGGCGGGGTCCCCAATTAAACACTGTGTACACTGGCCGGTGGCGAGTCTGTCCCAGGCAAAGCCCCCCACCCTGCGCCAGGTACGGCGACTGAAGGAGCCTGGGGTGGGGGCCTGGGCTTCACCAGGGGTGGGGGCCCTTCCACCTGTAGGCGAGGTGCTTCCTTGTCACAGGCCGGTGACACCATCATGGAAGGGGATCTTAGGCCCTACAGCATCCCCAAGGTACCCACAAGTCGATGATAAAAAGGAACGCTGCCCTGCGGGCCACCAGGGGCTTAGTGGATGATCACGAGTTTAGTCTTGGAAGGACTTGAAGAGTCCTTAAAACACTTAAAAGAGAAGAACAAGGAACAGGGGTGCCCTCAAACTGAGGGAGGCTTTGGAAGAATGGCCTGCAATGGGCCTGGTGGGCAGATGCTGCCCTGCTGGTGGGGGGGGGGGGGTGCAGCTGGGACCATTTGGAGCAGGACGGTGGGAGGGGCTGGTGGTTCCAGGACAGAGGCTGCTGTGGGCCATCCGGGGAAAACCCACCACTTTATTGCAACTCTTCAAAAGCAGCTAAAGTAGGTAAAACCACCCCCACCCCCCAGGCCTGGCCTCCGCAGCCCTTCCTCCACCCTGGGCTGTGGTCCGGGAGTTGGGGCTGGCCAGTGCTGGACGCCAGCTCAGTGGTCCTCCACAGGCCCATGGTGTGGTCTGAGGGACAGGGTGCCAGGGCTCACAACACCTGGAGGGGAGAAGATGGATGAGTCAGCAGCTCACAGTGGGCTTGTCCTCCTGGCTGGGCGGGTGGGACCCTCAGCCCCCAGGGAGTTCCTTTCCCTGCCTCTTCCACCCCTAGAAGATTCCTGAGGAGATCTCTGGGCATTTGAGAGCCCTGAGGAGGCCATGGCTCCCTCCCCACCTTCCATGACAATCAAAGGTTCCTGCACCCTCCCCACCCATGTTTCCTCCGGGCCTTGGCTGCCAGGTTAAGATTGCCCTCGGGCAGGCCCAGGCCCTTCCTGTGACAGGGGCGTCGTGTCCCCACATGTCTCCAAAGCCGTTCTATCCTTGGCCTGGCTGTGGCCCTGTACAGCCAGCTGGACAGGAGGCATTGTCCCCTCTGACCACGAGGGAAATCCAAGTGGAGATGTGCCCAGCAGGTGTGGTTTAATGCACCCAGGCAGATGGTCGTGGCCACCCAGGGTTCAGTGCTGAGGACTCAGAGCAAGGGACAAAGCATCAAGGGAAGGTGGTGGGTGATTAGCAGTGTTGGCCAGAACCAGGGAGGGGGAGAAGCAAGGGGCGCTGCCTCCTGCCGTTCGTGCTCCCTGCAACGCCCGCGTCCCCAGTATCAGGATCAAGGAGAACAGGGTGTGCTTGGCGCCACTGTCCAGGCCCATTCTGACATCTCCGAGGCCCACGTGGGGAAATGCCTGAGTCAGGCCAGGCTGAGACCTGCATGTAGGTAGCTCTGTGGCCAAATGCTCACCTGGCCTAGGACAGGAAGGTGCGCACGCAGCTGTCGATGGGGGCCCTGCAGATGGGGCAGAGCTGCAGGTTGGGCGCACACTCAGCACAGACCAGGTGGCCGCAGGGCACGAAGACGACTGACACGGCTCGGTCCAGGCACACCTTGCAGGTCCGCTCCTCCCGCAGGCGCTGCAGCTGCTCCTCCACATTCTGGGCTCCTGGGGGCTCAAGGACCCACCAGTACCCTCTGGGCCTGGGCTTTACCAGCTTCCTCCGAGGGGGTGGGCCTGTGACGCCATCCCCACACCTTGACCTCCACCCTCTGTGCTGGGCTGATGGGGGAGGGGGGCTGGAGCCAGCCCAGAAGAGCCACCCCTCCCACCTCAGGGTACAGGAGAGCTGTGCCCGCCCCCTGGTGGGTCCCCACCCTCACCTGGCTCCCTAGCACCTGACTGGGCCTCTCTTCTGGGCATGGGTGGGTCAGGACCCCGGTGGACAGGAGCTGTGGGCAGTTAGGAATAGACTCTTGGCCTAGGCCCCAGGGGAAAGTGAGGCTGGGCCCAGAGACTGGGCTGGCCAAGGGCAGGATCCAGTTCTGGCAGGAGAGGTGGAAGATCCAGCCCATGCTCCCAGCCCCTTTCCTCCTGCTCCCTCCACAGCATACTAGGACCCCCAGAGCCCACCTCCTTGCCAGGACACTGCCCATCCAGCCCCTCCTGCAGTGGCCATGGACGCTGCCTGCCAGGCACTCTGGGGGCAGTGAGGGAGGGCCGTGCTCAGAGGGGATTAGCAAGGAGAAGTGGGAGGGGGTTGTCCTGGGAGGTGGAGGTGCCTCTGCCCCCACCTGGCCCCGTCCTCTTCCTGGGGCAGGTTGGCCACCAGCTGCGATTTGGACACACTGGCCGGCACCACCAGGTGCCGTTTGGAGCATGGCCCGCACTGCTGGGCACTAGCCCCATGCAGACCACTCCTGGCCGTCCCTAGTGTCTGCAAGGCAGGGTGAGGGGCGCAGGACCAAGGGCAGGGAGCAGCTGGGGCCTCAGGGCCACAGGAGAGAGGCAGACGGCCCGCCACCCTGGCCATCACCAGGGCCCCCTTAACACGAGGACGTCTGCTGTCTGAGCTTCAGTGCCCTGAGCTGGCCGTCATGGCCGCTCCATCAGTGTCTGAGTGGGGCTGTGTTCCACTGAGGTGCAGTGGAGGCTCAGACCCTCTCAGCAGAGAGGCCGTGTCCCCAGAGCCTTGTTCAGAGGTGCCACCACAGGAGGAAAGGTGGTAAACCTGTCACAAAGCCACTATGGATGCTCCAGTACCAGGCGCTGCTCCCACAGTGTCCCGTGGACCCTGTTTAATCACAAATGGGGCAGGCACCATCCCATTTCACAGCTCAGGGCACTGAAGCTCCAAGAGCAAAAGTCACTTGCTCCAGGATTGGATAGAAGAGCCGAATCTGGACCCTGGAGCCCTGGTAGCCCCTCGGACCCTGCCCCAGAGGCCTAGCACGGGCATAGAGCAGAGCTCGGCCCCTCTGTGGCCTCGTGACTGCAACCAGGTTGGCTTTGGGGCCAGCAAAGCCCACCTCTCCTCTCCACGCTCTCATTGCCCTACCCGGGATTGGCCATACTCATGGTGGCTGCTCAGTGGTAGCAGGGGACTGCTTCGGCCTCACCCAGAGCCCTGGACACACCGCAGTGCCTGCACGCAGCCCTCCATGAAGCAAGCCCAGGCAGCACCCTCATGCCTGGCTGGGCAGCCTTCACTCTTCCTGCTGTCCAGCAGAGGGCATACCCACTGGCCACAGTGCAGGCTGCAGGTGCCCAGGAAGTAGGGCACAGGCCACATGTCATGGCTCACCTGAGGGGGCAGCGTCTTCTGGTTCTTCCAATTGATCCTGGAAGGAGCCAGAGAACACCGGTGTCTTGAGTAGACAGAGCGGCAGGGGTGGGGTGGGGAGGGGAGGGACCCTTGGCCCCCAACCCCGTAGCCCTAAGGAGGGGCGGGACTCACCCAGGAGCTGAGCTGGTGGCAACAAGACTCCTGCACCCTGCAGACGAAGTCCCTCCCTTTTGTCTGGAGCAGGAATTCACATCTGAAGAAACCAAGTTCAGAAGCCTGAGGGCAGTGGGCTTGGGCTGCCCAGGCCCCTCACTGTCAAGTTCAAGCCCTGGGGAGCCGCTCAGGCCAGGGAGTGCCTTCTGCTCCGCCACAGGGCCCTGCAGAGGGTGGGGTCCGGGGAGCCTGAGTGGTGAGCATTTGCTGGGAAGGCTGTTTTGGAAGCCACCCCTGTTGAGCATCAAGGAAGCAACGGCAAAAGTGCTGCCCCAGAGAGGCCTCATCCCCGAGACTTGCCGCCCGGGGCTGGGGTCGGGAAAGCTGGCCTGTGCCCAGCCCCGGCCTCTGCGCACAACCCCAAGACTGCCGGCAGGACCCTTACCTGGGGAACCACTTGGCGTGCTCAGTCCAGGGGTCATCCCCTCGCTCCCAGCTCTGCAGACCCCCATGGCAGAAGAAGCACCTCACCTTGTCCTGCCAGCCTGGGGAGAGCAAAGATGCGGGCCTTGCCCACGCATGGCCCCTCGGCACAGCCAGGAGCCCCCCGCCCACTGGGCCAGATGTGTCCCCAAGGCTGGGGGCAGGGGCTCCCAGATGGCCATTCTTCTGGGGCGGGGGCCACCTGGGGTGGCTCGTGAGCCGAGGAGGGGCTCCCACTGGCCTCAGCCACACCCTTTGGCCTGTGTTCCCCTCGGGTTTCACATGCATCCTGGTTTTCTCAAAGGAAAAATAGGATTATGATGCCTGGGGCACCTGCCAGGCCTGAGGAGGACGTTTGTGAAAGGAGTAGAGGGCATTTGTGTCATTCACAAAAAGGCAGGTGGGCGGTGGTGGGGCATGGGGGGACCAAGTACCCCCATCACCTCCACCTGAGATGTCACCTCCCCAGAACAGATTCCCAGTGATCGAGAGAAGGGGGACTGTCTGTTGCCAGGCTCATGTCTCCCTTTGAGGATGGGGGCCCCTTGTCTCCACGCCACCCCCTTGCGGCCCTCACCTTCACCTCACCCCACCATGAATATTTTTGTCATTTGGTGCAGAGACTGCAGATCGGGGGCTGCTACAGGCACATCCCACCCCAGACCTCTGAGAGCCTGTCCCTGGACCCCCAGGGGCCCCGCAGACACTCTACACCCCTCTAGTTCCTCCTCTTGGCTCCAACTGCCCCAGCCACTCACCTGCCCCCAGGGTACATCTGTCCTGTGTTGTTCTAGCCCCTCCCCGGGCGCACTTGTCACCATCTGAAGCACATGCTTAGGAGAGACTCCTGGGCTGTGGGACCCCCAACCCCTCTTCATTAGGCCTGGACCCTCCTGCTGTGGGGGATGGGGTCTACAGAGAAGGGAAAGCCCCAGTCCAGAAGGGTCCCTAACGGTCCCCAGGTCCCCAGGGCTCACCGGTGTGGAAGAAGCCAGCGGCAGCTAGCAGCTCGGGTCGTACTACGGCGGTCAGCGGCCAGTGACAGAAGGAGGCCAGCCGTAGCTCCTCAGAGCCCATCCTGGGGAAGGCAGGCCTTGTGGATGGGGCGGCCACGGCCCCTGCTCCCTCCTCCTCTTCCTCTGCCAGGGGGTGCAGCTGGCCCAAGATCTGCCCGTCCACGTGGTCCCGGCCTCCCCAGGACAGGGCTCTGCCAGTGTCCTGGCCCAGGATGCAGCCACACAGACAGTGGGGTCTATGGTGCCCCTGCATGGGGCTGCCACCAGCTGCCTGGTGGCTCAGCTCCAGGCCGCGGCACCAGCACTTAGCCTTGTCCTCAGGCCCCATGGAGCAACCACCAGTCCTGACCAGTTCTGTGTCAGTGATGGGCCCCCGGATGGCCAGTCCTGGAATGTGCCCAGCCAGCTCGCCTCGGGGCTTCTGGCCCCTGGGCCCTGCCTGGGGACAGTGGTGGCCTTCGCCTCCAACAATTGGGAGATGAGGGCAGGCATGGTCCTGCCCCCCAGATGCCCCAGGTTGGGGAGCGGCCGGGAGGGCTGCTGGGGCCCGCCACTTTCTGGAAGGGGCCAGTGTGGCAGCTGATGTCACATGTTCTCTGCAGTGGGGATGTGTCACGGGGCTCCCTGGCAGGGGCCATGGTGGTGGGGGCTGCAGGTCTCCCTCCGCTCCACAGGGGCAGGACAAAGGGGGAGGGGCAGGAGCACAGAGACCCCGCCCCAGGCGGCGAGGGCTACGGCTGGGGCTGGGGCTGGCTCCAGGACCTCAGTGGTGGGGGGGAGGGGTGGTGGCGATGGTGGTGTGTGGACAGGAGCAGTCTACATGCTGTCAGCTCTCAGTTTCTTGGCCTGGCGCCAGGCACAGCCTCTGGAAGCAGAAAGTCCCAGGTGATCTGAACTATGCAGTTAGTGCCACCGGGAGGGGAGGGCCACCCCCTCTTATAGGGATGACCTGGGGTGGCCCAGGATGCAGGGGTGCCTAGTGAAGGGCTAGGCCCAGGCCCTGGAGCCCTTGATCTAGATGGTCTCCTGCTTGGAACCCTGAAGCCCAAAGGGGCTTAAGACATCCCTGTGCCCAGCCTGGCCTGAGCAGCAGGTCTGTGAGCAGCTCTTGTCCTCAGGTCACAAAGATTGGGGGACAGATGGGCCCACGCCCTTCCTGAGATTCTGGGGTAGGTGCTTGGCCTGAGCTCGCCTCTGTCACCCCCCCACCTCCCGTGGCCTTGGAGGATTTGGGGAGTAGGCTAGGAGGGTGAAGCCACACATTGTGAGGTCAGTTTTCCTGTTTGAATTAGAATCCTGAGGCTGCAGTGACCTAGACACCAGGGACATTTGGGGAGAGTCAGAAATTCCAACTACTTGTACCTGCTGCATCAGGCTAGTCCTGCTGCTCAGGGGCGACCAGACCATTGCTGCCATCACCTGCCCTGGGGTGCCACCAGGCTCTGCCTCAGAGCCAGCTCCCCTCCCCAGGCCCGGCTCTGGGACAACCTCCCTGCTACGGGGCCTGGTCAGCCTGGGGGGGCCCTGGCTCCTGGTCTGGGGCGGGGGCTGGGGTTCAGGACTGCACGTGCTCCAGGCCCAGGTCAAAGCTGCTGGCCACATGGGGAGCACCCCTTCTCTGGACGGGCTTCCCTCACATGTGTTCACAGCAATGTGGTCTCGACCAACCAAGCACAGAGGTCCCAGCGCCCCCAATAGTTAGGGAACACAGGTGGTGGGCTGTAACCCAGGGAAACTGGAGCTCCCGGGTGGGCAGAGCCGGAGCCCAGGGACGCAGAGGATCTGGTGCGGAAGAGATGGAGAGGACGACTGGGTGGACTGCGGGGCCCCTGCCCTCCCCATAGCCCCCCAGGAGTGCAACCCTCCCCAACTTCCCCTGAGCAGAGGTGGCTCATCCCCCCGCTGAGGCCCCACACCCTCTCTCACCCCAACACCTCTTCCTTGCTGTTCTCGTCCAGGTGTGGGCACGTGCCTGCTCTCAACTCGTCAGCCTTTGAAAACAAGATCATCAAGATTAAAAAGAGGACCCTTACTCGCTGTGCAGGCCCCTTGCTCACGGTGGGGGCTGGAGGCGGCTAACTGCCCAGGGTTGGCCATGAGACCATGGCCAGGGCCAGGTGGGCAGGGTGGGCTGTGCCACAGCGAGGGTCACAAAGAGGAGCTGGGTAGAAGGGGGTCCTCACCCGAGCCTGGAGCACCCCCACCCGCCCGCTGGCCCGGCGTCGGCCCCAGCTGCCCTCACTCACCTCCTGCTTGGAGCTATGTGAACCCGGCACAGATGGAGCAGCCAAGAGCCCAGGCTCCTACATACCAGCCCACACCTGAGCCTCACTCCCCGGGAGCCAGGGTTGCTGCCTTGCCCTCCAGGGGGTGCCATAACCATCCTGGCTGCACCGGCTGCTCAACCCTGATGTTGCTAGAGTCCCAGGGAGTCCCAGAAACCCTCTCCTATCCGAGGCCTGAAGCCGCCTGGTTTCCAGCAGGAAATCCCAGTGAAGGGTGTGGCTGGGAAGCCAGGCAGCAAGCAGCAGCCCCTTTGCACCCTGCTTTGCCCACTCCTGGGCTCCCGGGTCTGAGGCCAGGGCCTGGGGGGCAACTGAGGAGGGGCACCTGGACAGCTCAGGGGGTGTGGGAGGGGTGGGGGCTAGTGCAGGAGGCTAGACCCCAGATGGGACTTCCCGACATGTTGGTCTCAGGATATCTGGGCTGTCACCTGCTCTCGGCCCCGGTTCCCCAGTCAGCACAGCGTCCAGGTCACAGAAATACTGGTGATCTGTGGCCACTTCAGCAAACAGCAAGTGTGCCCACCCTCAGGGCCCTTTTGGGAGGTTTCCTCCGGGATCAACCCTCTGCCCCTGCTCCACCCCGACCCTTGGATGGACAGGGAGGAGGATGAGGGTCCCTGGGCGGCGCCTCTGTGGCTGTTCCCTCAGATGCCACTGCTTTGGGGCTGGGAGTGGAGAAGCAGTGTCCCTCACTTCCGGAAATTCCAAACATGCCTTGTTTTGCTTATTACAAAGGGAAGGAAGGAAGCGTACTCTCGCCCACGGGTGGGGGTGGGCAGAGAAGCTGAGCCCCTGAGGTGGAATCTGAGGTCGGACTCCCTGGAAGGGGGTCTGTGCCCGAGCTGGGCGGGCGCCCTCCCCTCCACACCCCGGAGCAGGTGTTCCTCCAGCACGTCCGCGTGTAGCTGCGTGGAGAGCGGGGTGGGGAGGATCACCCTGAAGGGCAGTGGTCACCTCGGAGGAGGACCGGCCTCGGCCTCTGCTCGTCTGCAGCCACCTTTAGAAATTCTAGAGACAAGAAATTACCCATGTGTTGCTTATATAATTAAGTAAATAGAAGTAAGGAGCTTAAATAACATGCTTATTCTGGAAATTTTGAGAATACCCAGAACATAGAGAAGACAAGTCACCATCTGAACCAGCTCTGGGGCACCCCCAGGGCCAGTTCCGGGATCTGACCTTGCCCCGTTCCATGCGACATGTCACCATCGGGAGGGGTGACCAGCCCCGTACGTTTCTTTGCAACTCTCTGTGAATCTATAGTTATTTCAAAATAAGAATCTGAAGAAAGCACCAGCCTCTCCCCACTGAGCGGTTGGCTGTCGCTGCTCTGTGTTTCCTTCCAGACTCGCTCTGTTTACCCGTTTTTCTTACTTAATGTCGCATGTCAGTTTCTGTGAATGCCTTGGATGGCTCACCTCCACAACCTCGGGGGCGCTGTGAGTCTTTACCATGAAATCTCCCTGGTAAGACGATGCCAGATGAGAGATGGTGGGAGAGAGACCTCCAGGGCAGCCTGACAGACGGGACCCACGCAATTTGCTGTGGATCTGGACCAGATCCCCACTCTCCCTGCGAGACTCAGAACCGGCTGGGGTTGCATGGGACCATCCAAACGGAGAGCTCCTTCCCACCACTGTAGTGGGGCCCAGCTTGTCGGGACAATGGCTGTGGGCACCCCTGCTGGGTGCCGTGCAGCCTGTGGACTCCCAGTCTCCTGGCGTGTGTGCTCTGGCTGGCTGGGGGGCTGAAGAGAGTGGCAGGCAGAGCCACAAGAGGCCAGCAGGGGGCACATGGGCCCACTGTGGGCTTCCCACAGGCTACGGCTGGACCCCTGGACCTTAACCTGGCTGTGGGCTGAGTGCAGCCGTCTGGACCACAGCATCAGGGTGGCCCAGCCTGCATCCCCTCGGGATTGGTTTTTTTTTTTAAAGATTTTATTTTTTTTCCTTTTTCTCCCCAAAGCCCCCCGGTACATAGTTGTATATTCTTCGTTGCGGGTCCTTCTAGTTGTGGCATATGGGACGCTGCTTCAGCGTGGTTTGATGAGCTGTGCTGTCTGCGCCCAGGATTCAAACCAACGAAACACTGGGCCACCTGCAGCGGAGCACGCGAACTTAACCACTCGGCCACGGGGCCAGCCCCAGGATTGTTAAATCAGATTATTTCCTGGGGCATGTGGCCCCAGGCCTGAGCAGGACAACTGGCTTCTCCTCGAAGATGATTCAGCACAGCTGAGCCTAACTCCTTCCTGCCCCTTCCCCATCCCTGGTCCCCCTCAAAGCTGAGCCAGGAGGCTGGGGCGTGGACCCAGGTCATGGCGTGGGGCTTAAAGAGGGAGGAGGGAGGGTGAGCAGCAGCCTTCTGGTCTCACAGCCCTGCTGAGCCCAGGATGCCCACCGGCTGGACGTCCAAAGCTGGCCCTGCTGTCTGTGCACCAACCGGAAACTTGAGAGGTCCCATCTTTGGCCCCAGATCTCAGCTAGGGATCCAGAGTAGTGTTGGGTTCAGCTTCAGGAAGGGCTAGATCAGGGAGCTCACCAACCATGATGCTCCAGGGAAAACAGACCTTATCGGCTGCAAGGGCAAACAGGTACTGCATTTCCCAACTCCATGCAGGCAGAATTTGAAGGGCAAGCAGATTATAGGGGCTCAAAACCTTTGTCTTTCTGTCTCCCCCTCTCTCCTCACATTCCATGGATTTTAAAGCCCATGAGGAAGCACTGTTTGGGGCAGGGGTCTCAGGCTTGGGTCAGACATAGGTTCTGCAGACAACTGATGCCCTGGCTGGGCCCCCAGTGCCCCTACAGTGAGCATGAGGTTCAGAGGAGCCACAGGAGGGAGGGACAGACTACCCAGGGCCTTCAGGGGAGGCTTGGGAGAGGAGGCGAAGGAGGAGCTGAGTGTGCAGTGCAGAGAGCGGGGAAGGGTGTCACAGGCAGAGGGAACAGCAAGGGGGACACGTGTGTGTTGGTCCTTGTGGGGACTGGAAGTGAATGAAGGTGCAGGGCTGTACGGAGCAGGTCATGGAGACCCTGGAGCT